CTCTTTCTTACTGACTCACTACCAACCATGATGCCCTTCTCCAGGGACTGGTCCTGATAACATACCCAAAGTATGTGAGACAAAGTCTCATCATCTTCACTTCTAAGGAGCATTCTGGCTATACTTCTTCCAAGACAAATTTCTTCGTTCTTCTGTCAGTCCATGGTATATTCAGTACTCTTTGCCAACACCATAATTCTAATGTATCAGTTCTTCAGTCTTTTTTAGTCATTGTCCAGCTTTCACATGCATATGAAATAATTGGCAATAGCATGGCTTGGGTCAGGCACACCTTAGACTTCAAGATGACATTTTTGCTTTTTAATACTTTAAAGTAAAGCCATAGTAACCATTGATCCCTATGCATTTGCTTAATCTGGATATTTCACGTACGTGGAATCATACAACATTTATCCTTTTGTGTATTATGACTTATTTTACTCAGCATGTTCTCAAGGTTTGTTCATGTTGTAGCATATACAACTTCATTCCTTTTCATGGCTGCATTTTATTCCATTGTGTGTGTGTGTATGTATGTGTGTATGTATGCCACAATTTGTTTATCCATTCATCTGTTGTGATAGACATTTCAGTTGTTTCTACCTTTTGGCTGTTGTGAATACTGCAGTGAACAGATGCAGTATACAGATACCTGTTTGAGTCCCTGCTTTAAGTTATTTTGGGTTTATATGTAGGAATGGAATATGTGAGTTCTATGATTAACTTTTTGAGAAACTACCAGATTGTTTTCACAGTGGCTACACCATTTTCCATTCCTGCTAGCAATTTCCAGTTGCTCGTTCCATTTTCTCCACATCTTTCCAACATTTGCTGTTGTCTGTTTTTCTGATAATACTCAATCTAATGGGTGGAAGTGGTATGTAGTTGTGGTTTTTATGTGCATTTTTTTCTGACTAATGAGGTTCAATATCTTTTCTTGCCCATTTGTTTGTATTTCTTCTTTGGAGAAATGTCTGTTCAAGTCCTTAGCACATTTTTTTGATTGGGTTGTTTTATCTTTTTGTTGTTAGGTTGTGGGAGTTTTTTATATATTGTAAATATTAAACCCTTATCAGATACATGATTTCTAAATAATGTCTCCCATATTGTAAGTATTATTTTAACTTTCTGATAGTGTCTTTTGATGCACAGAACCTTCCTTTGGGTGAAATCCACTTTATTTATTTATTTTGCTGCTCATGCTGTTGGCATTATATATAAGAATCCATATCAAATAGTTAGGGCATTGATCCATTTTAAGTTAACTTTCTCCTATTGTGTGAGGTAGAGTTCCAGCTTTATTCCTTTTTGCATACAGAGATCCAGTTGTGCCAGCACCATTTGTTGAAAATACTTTTGCTTTCCCCACTGAATGTACTTGGCACTCTTACCAAAATCATTTGGCCAGAATTGGATGAGTTTATTTCTGGACTCTTAATTCTATTCTACTGGTTTAATTGTCTATTCTTACACCAATACCACTTGATTTGAATATTGTCTCTTTTCTAGTCTGTTGAAATTGGGATGTGTGAGTCTTCTTACTTTGTTCTTTTTTAAGATTGTGTTGGCTCTTCAGTGCCCCTTGTAATTCTATAGAATTTGAGGATCAGCATTTCTGTTTCTGTGAAAAAGATTGTTGGAATTTTAGTAAGGCGTGTGTAGACTCTGCAGATTACTTTTGGTAGTATTGATACTATAACAAAATTAATTCATCAAATACACACACACAGAAAATGTTTTTCCATTTATTTAGGTCTTTCATTTCTTTCAGCAGTGTTTTATAGTTTTAGTGTATAAATTGTACATCTCCTGTTTATATTCTTTTTTAGGTATTTTATTATTTTTCCTTCATTCAAAAACATTTATTAGGCATCTCTTAGGCCAAGAAGCTCTGGTGGCCTAGCACCTAAGGCACTTGACTGCTAACCAGAAGGTTGGCAGTTCAAACCCACCAGTCATTCTGTGGAAGGAAGACAGGGCAGTCTGCTTCCGTAAATGTTTACCACCTTGGAAACCCAATGGGAGGGACTGTGAGTCAGACTCGACACAATGACAGTGGGTTTGGTTTGGTTTACTGTTAATCCAGCAACTATGGGATACATGCTCTTTTGATGCCAAAGTAATTTTGAAGCAACCTAAAATAAATAAATAAAGTGTACAGGTTTAAATTTAACAAGCTATAGTGCCTTCCCTTTCACCTAAGTTAATATGTGTCTACCCTCTGGTTAGTGGTTTACCTTCATTTCCCCTCCACCGCTCGCAACCATCAAAGAATATTTCTTTTTGTATAAAAACCTTTTAATGACTTTTCACAACAGTGGTCTCATACAATATTTGTCCTTTGTGATTGCCTGATTTCACTCAGTATAATACTCCCTAGGTTCAGCGATGTTATGAAATGTTTTACAGTTTCATCATTGTTCTTTAATTGCAAAGTATTCCATTATGTCTATGTACCATAGTTTGTTTATCCATTCATGTGTTGTTGGGCATTTAGGTTGTTTCTGTCTTTTTGCTATTGTTAATAATACTGTGATGAACATAGGTGTATATATATCAGTGCATGTTGTGGCTCTTAATTCTCTAGGATATATACCCACTATTGGGATTGCTGGATTATATGGTATTTCTATTTTCAGCTTTTTAAGGAAATGCTTTACTACTTTCCACAGAGGTTGTTCTGTTTTACAGTCCTACCTAAGGCACTTGACTGCTAACCAGAAGGCTGGCAGTTCAAACCCACCAGCCACTCCTCAGAAGGAAGGTTGGACAGTCTACTTCTGTAGTGATACTGCCTCGGAAACCCAAGGAGGGGTCACTGTGAGTCGGGTCCGACTCAATAGCAGATAACAACAACATCACCACCAGATGTGTGTGAGGGTTCCAGTCTCTCACCATACTCTCACCAGCATTTGTTGTTTTCTGTTTTTTTGAACTTTGCTATTAATGCTGGGGTGAGAATGCAAATGGAATTATTTTCTTAATTTCTGTTTCAGATTGTTCATTGCTGTGTATAGAAACACAGCTGATTTTTATGTTTTGCAACTTTGTTGAATTTGTTTATTGGCTCTGATAGCATTCTTATGGAATTTTTGAGATTTTCTGCATATAGAATCATGTCTTCTGTGAGTAGAGGTAGTTTTACTTCTTTTCTGATCTGAATACCTTTTATTTCTTAACCAGTTGTTTTGGCTAAAACTTCTAGTACATTGTTGATTAGCAGTAATGAAAGCAGGCATCTTTGTATTGTCCCTGATTTTACAGGACAGGTGCCTTTTTATATGTAAAATATCTGACTATGGATTTATCATCATATGTAGTGTTTGGTTTATTCAGGTTTTCTATTTCCTTCTTGAACCAAGTTTTAGTAGTGCATGTTTTCCTAGAAGATTATTTTTCCTGGCTTTAAATTTTTAATGGTGTGGAAATGAATATAGCATTCTTTTACAACTTTTTAATACTCTCTTGGGAATTGTATTTCAGTCACAAGCCTAATGTTTATTATTTTTCACTTCTTTGTTTTTTCATGATGAGATATACTGAGAATTATTCTTTAATAATCAGAGTTTGGTTTCATTCATAAAATTTACTTTATAAAAAAATTCAGTGTTTTACCTTTTTGTACCCCTTTCTCTCCGTCCTTTCCTTTCTTCAGTCTTTTCTGTCTTGGACTGAAGACTACCGTCTTCAGCAGTTTGAGTCTACTTCTGATTTGCTCCTGAGAATCTCTGCAATTAACAGCATTTATCACTTATCACAGTTTAGGCATTCTAGTAGTGCAACAGTTAAAGCATTTGGACGCTAACCAGAAGGTCTGTATTTTGAACCCACCAGCTTCTCCAAGATGAGAAAGATGAGGCAGCCTGCTTCCCTAAAGATTTACAGCCTTAGAACCCTATGGGGCAGTTCCACTCTGTCCTCTAGGGTTGTGATGAGTCAGAATCAACTCATTGGCAATGGGTTTGGTTTTTTGGATTATCATAGTTTGGGGAATATTCCTTTAAACTCCCCTGTGGGGGCAATTGTGACTCATCTCTTAGTATCAAACATTTTTCACAAAGGAGGCATTATATCCTAGTTTAAATGTGCTGTGTCAATTTGGTTGTTTGATTAGGAGTAAGCTTTGTAATAACTATAGATATTGACAGTAGGATACTTCACCTGACTGATGGGCATGTGATAGTTTTATATGATATATTGTCTTTTCTGCAAATTGAATTAGAATGTATCTCAGTTTCTCTTAAGAAATGTGGCTGTAACACTTTACTGAACAGATTATCCTTTTGTCTTGTAATCCATGTACATTTACTGTATTTTTATACAAATAACATTTGTTTACCAACTGTACCCTCCCCCCACAGCGTATTTTTGTAAGCACCCTATACTAATAAATGTAGAACATGTGCTACTTGCATGAAAATACAGTACTTCTTTATTGATAATAAGCAGTGATTCTTAAACTTTAGCATGCATCAGAATCACCTGGAAGGATTGTGAAAACCTCTTGAGTTTCAGCAGGTGTGAGGTAGACCCTGAAAATTGGCATTTCTAGTAAGTTTTCAGGTGATGCTGGTGCTCAAATGCCCCAGAGACCATTTGAGAACTGCTGATAAAGATAATTAAAATACATCTTTTGATAAACCACTTTTGATAAGCAGATTGTTCAACCTAGAAATGCTTTTTCAGACTTATATATTTATTCATTGGTAATAACATTTAGATTATATTTAGACATATAGTTAGTTCTCTTATAATCAAGATATTTTGTTTTAATGCAGTTTCAAAATTCTTTATTAAATAAAAGTAGGATATATGAGACAAGATAGAAAAAGGTTGTAATTGTTGAATCTGGGTCTTGAGTACATTGTATAATGATGGTTTGTAATACTCCTCTCTACTTTAATGTGTGTCTAAAATTTTTTTGATGAAGGGGTTTTTTTAAAAAATTTATTGCTTAGCTGTTACTGTGATAACTTCTTTCATATTTAATTTCTTAATAGAGTAAAGACAAGATTGCATCCTATAGCAAAACACCAAAAATTGATCGAAGTGATGTGGGAAAAGAGATGAAAGAGAAATCTTCCATGAAACGTAAACTTCCTTTTACCATTAGTCCATCAAGAAATGAAGAGCGAGATTCAGACACAGGTAGAATAATTACTGTTTTCTGGTAAAATCTTGATTGTCTTTTGCTATGATTTTCTTCTTATGTGCATCATTTGGTTTTACACCTTAGTTAAAAGAGAAAATATTTGTATTTTAATATTTCAGATGTATCATATTGAGGCAGAAATTGATATATGATATTTTCTTACCTGAATATGATTTTTAGTTAGAGATAAAAATAATTTGCTTTTTTCCTTACTACTCTTAATGCTTATCACAAATTTCTTGCCAATTTCACTATTTAGTTTTATGAGGAGAATTTCATTGAAGAAACATACTCAGTGAGAGGCAAACATTAGGATAGATAGATTGGAGAAAAAGCTATTCAGTTTTGGTAGGTACATTAATGAACCCACCAAAGAAAGAAATTTAGACATTTTAGACTCAGAAAGTGAATTAAAATACATACTACCAAAAAAGAAAGAAAACTTCAGGCTAACTGCTTAAGCCCTATTCATAGTACTTTTGTTTCTCAAGACTTCTACATACTAAAAATTGATACTTAAATCATTAATACCAGTTATTCATAATAGATTAGAACCTTATTACCACAGTGTAATAAATTACTAATTTGTCCTTTAGCTCTGAACTAATCATTTCTTGAAATTAATAGAAGTTTGAATGTTATTTGTGGGATTGTGTATTTATTATAGTTGTTTTATCTTGTGCATGAAATATAAACATTGAACAGTTCTTAAGTATGTTTTACCTTCACAACCACATATATATATACATATACATATATATATATATAAAAGAGATTTAATATCCAGAATACATTAAGAACTTTTATAGCTTAACAACAAAAAGACAAACACCCCAATAAAAACAAAAAAGGGCTAAAGAAATTATGTTCTTTGTTCATTTCAAGTTATAGTGTTCTTTTTCTAGAGATTCAGTTTGTATTTTTTCTTCTTCTGAAGTAAGACTCTTAAGTATTAGTTTGGTTCTCTAGCGCTTCTCTAACAAAAAATGCCACAAGTGGATGCTTTTAACAAACAGGGATTTATTCTTTTACAGTTTAGGAGGCTACAAGTACGAGTTCAGAGTGCCAAGCTCTAGGAGCTGGGTGAAGGCCACCTGATTTTGGCTTCAGCTCTGCCTTTTGCTCCCAGCCCACTGGAGCTGGAGGTGTCTCTTCACTCAGGCCAGCTGCTAGCTGACTGACCCTGACCCAGGGCTGACAAGTATAATGGCATAGTCCCAAAATTATCAAGCGACATGGCAGGCCACTGGTTCACATACAGAAACAGTCCCAAGATTAGCAGGTAACATGGCAGGCCATTGAGATAAAGACTAAGCCAAATGCAGAATCTAGATATGCCAAAAGCTTAATACCTTTCTCAAAGCTTCTTACATACTGGAAGCAGACCACATCCCCAAAGCTTACAGCAGATTCTACCACAGAATCGATTACCAGTCTCATCATGGAATAACCATACCCAGCTGCCCAGCCACTCAAAACCACACCCAGCCAAGTTGACACATAACCTTAACTACCACAATTATCCTTAAGTAATATTCTTTCTTAATCTATTAGTAAGGTCACTTAGCTGAGAAGGCCCTCGTGTGCCTTTAGGTATCTATTTAAGATTTTACCTTTCTCATAGTTTCTCTCTGGAGGTCGTTTACTAGTCATGTTTTAATTACTTGTATTACTCTAATTTTATTTCCTATTAACAGGAAGGAAGGGGTTTTGATAAAATCAGAGAAATGTAATGTTGTTTAGGAATGAATAAGGTTTCAAAAGAGTAAACTTCCCATTAGAGCCTTTGTTATTAACTTAGATGGCTTTTATTTAGACTAAAATAAATGAGAAAAAGTTAATTAGGAAACCATGAACTTTAGGAATTGAATATAATCTGAGTCATATTTTATTATTTGGCTTATATATTTTTTTTCCCTGTTATATTTCTACTATTCAAATATGGTGGGATATTGTAGCTGAGGCTGTTTCATAATAAACTCCTATTCTTCTAGAAATACTACATACCATCACAACACAAGATACTGGTGGATTTAAAATAAAAATTAATATATTTTTAGGTTATATTTGTAAAATTTAGCAAATTATGGGTAATGGGTAGATGTTTTGGTTTTACATCTGATACACACATACAAAACTAAAATACTAAAATGAACTTTACGAAGCCTAAAGCAAAACATGCTTTCATAATCCAGCTATCTTCTTTTTAAAATTTTTATAATTTTAAGAAATATGTAGAATCCAGAATACTGTTAAGAAGAACTTTCCAAGTGAGTGATATTTATAGCATCAAATCCTGTATTTGATACTGATCATTTCTATAGAGTTTACTGTATTTTAAACTATAGGTTGTAACTATAAATACACTCTTGACAAAGATAGAGGGAGAAATATTTATAACATCCAACAGTCCTCAGCTTAAAATATTCAGTATTTAAAGATCTTAAAAAAGAAAAACAAAAAGTGGGAAATTAGTCAAAAGATACAAGCAAGTAGTTCAACAGAATTGTGGATTTGAAGAAATAGTTTTTAATCCTACTTGGTTGTTGTTCACAAGTTGGAAATTGGAACTCCGTTTAGTTCATTTTGGCAGTATATTTTTGGAGGTAAATATGACAACGTATGTCAAAAACTAAAATATTTCTTAATATTTAACTAATTCTTTCTTTTGGCATTTTTTCCATATAAATAATTATTGATGAGAGCAAAAATTTATTTTCAAGAATATTATCTATCTCAGCTACATTATAGCCACAAAAAAAGGAAAGATAATGTCAAATAATACAGGATTTCTTAATTAAGGTGCAGAGATACTATTTTACCCTTAAAAATAATGTTGTAGATGACTTTATGATATGAAAAGATGCTTATGTTACAGGGAATGAAAAAATTAGTTATGAAACAGAATGTACACATTGATTCTGTTAAATGTTCTGTATAGTTATATATGTGTGTGTGTACACATGACATATATAAACATATATGGAAAGATAAAATAAGACTTTGTAAGTATAAAAGACTGTTTCAGTGTAAAACTAAGCCTAAACCAGGTGGGGTGAATATATTATGGATAGAACAAAATGTAAATGTTAAAACCCTGATTTAGTGAAAAGAACAGGGTGAAGAGTAAGGAGGAAGCGTTCGTAGTATTACTCAGCTCATCGACTTTCAAAGGAGGAATTGGCTGATGTTATCTAAGACTGAAGCATGTAGTTTTGGGTTTTTTTTTTTTTTTTTTTTTAATGATTATTTAAACTCTGTATACCGACTCCTCCTCACTTATTGACTTGGTTAGGTTCCAGAGACCAAGTAATTATGTGAAAATTGGCATTATGCAAAAATGGAAGATGACTGCGTCATTACATGACTGTCAAACCACTTAGAATTATAGCCCAGCCAAGTTAACACTTAATGTTAACTCTCACAGCCAACATTACAGTTACCTCGCCCCTCTGCATTTGTTACTGCCCAATGTATATCATTAATGTACAAAGTAGATTTTCTTAATGTTGTTGTAATGTGAAATGTCAGATGAGATAATTGATAAATGAGGAGTTGTTGTTGTTGTTGTTGTTGTTATGTGCCGTCGAGTCAGCCCCGACTCATAGCGACCCCTCCTTGGGTTTCCGAGGCAGTATCACTACGGAAGTAGGATTGCCCAACCTTCCTTCCGAGGAGTGGCTGGTGGGTTTGTATATATATTTAGAAAAGTGTCTAAATGATGTCCATCAGATGTTAATACTTCTAGGATATGGGGTGGTTTGTTACTTTATTCTTTGTACTCTTGTATGACTTAAATTTTTTAAAAAATAATGATCACATACTATTTTTATAAAACAAAGCCATTACTTTCTTTAAAAACAAAGATATTCATATCCTTGTTCTGGAAAGGCTCATTGGTTTCCAAAATCTACAATAATACCATCAACTGGATGAGTGATTCTTAGTCTTCATTTTAAGATACCCTACTGTATCTTAGAAGGGGCCCTGATCGTGCAGTAGTTAAGCACTTGGCTGCTAACTCAAAGGTTGATGGTTTGAACCCACCAGCTACTTTGCAGGGGAAGAGGTGACAGTCTGCTTCCATAAAGATGTACGGCCTCGGAAACCCCACGGAGCAGTTTTACTCTGTCCATAGGGTTGCTATGAGTTGGAATTGACTTTGATGGCAATGGTTTTGGGTTTTTTTTTGTTGTTGTTGTTATCATTGTTTTAACTGTGTATTAAAACATTTTAAATTCTCAGTTATGTTATAAATACTTTTTCAATGCCATTTTCCTAGAAATGTAATTGCTTGACTAGACAAAATTTGGAGAAGAATTACAGCATAATTTGAAGTCATGATAGCTTCATAATAATACTGGTCTTTCTGAATTCATTAATTTCAGCAAGTCTCCAGCATATCCACTTAAATAATTCCAAGATCTGTCCTACATTATCCTTTCCTATCAGAATTCTCATAAATTTTGTCTCATAAAATGTTAAACCACTGTATACTTATTAACTAGAAGACATATTACTTTGTGCTTACTATATCAAGTTGCTTTATCAATTATTTTTCACTTTCACTTTAAATATTGCCTATTGTACACTCCTGACAGGATAAGTTATTGTAATCATAATGGAAGTAAATCATAGTATGTTGTTGTTGTTGTTGTTGTTGTTGTTGTTGTTATGTGCCATCCAGTCGGCCCCGACTCATAGCAACCCATCCTTGGGTTTCCTTGGGTATCACTACGGAAGTAGATTGCCCAACCTTCCTTCCGAGGATAGGCAATCTATAATCATAGTATAGTGTTTATTATTGGAAACTTTGGAGTCTAATAGACCGGGGTTAGGTCCCTGCTTAGGAACCTACTCAAAAAAATAAAATAAACTCACTGCTGTCGAGTCATTTCCAACTCATAGTGACCGCTTTTTGGGGTCCAAGGCAGTATCTCTACAGAAGTAGATTGCCCAGTCTTCCTTCCAAGGAGTGGCTGGTAGGTTTGAACTG